GGGTGGGTGTGGAGCAAGACTAGTAACTGTGTAACTCACCATAGATGTAAAGTGCCTTGTATAGTGACTGTTGTGAGCCTCTTGTTGCTCACGTGTGATATAACAGATTATAGATGTACTCACCTATCAGAACTCACCTAGTTGTGCATGCGGGGGTTGAGCTTTGGCTCTTTGGTCCCGCCTCTCAAACTGTCAATCAACTGGTGTACAGGTTCCTGAGACTACTGGATTCTAAAGCCAGAAAAATACCCAGATGTGTATATGTAATTGTGTAAATGATTGTATATATATATATGTATATGTACATATAACATTAATAATTGTGTTACTAGCTTCACAAAATTGTCACTTGCTTAGCTAAACGAACTATGGATGGTACACGAACAAGGGGACACAGGTGGAAGCTGAGTACCCAAATGAGCCACAGAGACATTAGAAAAAACTTTCTCAGTGTCAGAGTAGTTAATAAATGGAATGCATTAGACAGTGATGTGGTGGAGGCTGACTCCACACACAGTTTTAAATGTAGATATGATAGAGCCCAATAGGCTCAGTAATCTGTACACCTGTTGATTGACGGTTGAGAGGCGGGACCAAAGAGCCAGAGCTCAACCCCAGCCAGTACCATTAAGTGAGTACCAGTACTAAGAACCCTCCACCAGTACAACCACCCACCACAATAGTGATCCATGACCAATCGTTAATACTCGCCCCATCAAGCGACATAATCACCGAGAATAATGCTGTAATTGATTCAAATGTTGAAAATATGTAAACACAGTCACAACACGAAACTGGTTGTGGGAAGCGATCACATCTACCAATACTTCGGTGCTCTTTTTTTTAATGGTAGAGCCTGACGCGTGTGGGGGGGGCGGGGGTTACACACTTTCCTGTAGTTTAGTAAGAGAAACTATATGTTACAGCCGAGGAATGATCTCTAGGTGGCAAGATGGGAGACGATGACGTCATACTCGACCAATGAGACTGCATGTTACATATCAACCGCCAATCAGATGGCAAAATGGGAATCAATGACGTCATTAAACATTACAACACCCACCAATCAGGAGACAATATTTGAACAGACGACGTCAGCTCACCTCGACCAATAAGACTGCACGTTACAACCGCCAATCACAAGCTTCCTCTCAACACAAATGTTTACCAGAGCAAAGTATCCTAAATTATCTTTAAAATAGATACGACTTTTAACTCAAACTTAGCACTAAGCTTAAGCAGATCTACGTGAATTTCACGCTTGATCTCCGGAACATAAAAGACAAAAAAACGCTAAACAACAGTAAATTTTTGTCAGTTATGAGAAGACTTTCGTCGCGCTCCCAGACACTATCGTTCAGTCATCAAGGGAACTGTGTTCAACATCTTGGCTGGATCATATTGATGGTGGAGGTATACACAGCGGGTGTGTTTCCACACCTGCGGGGGTGGGGGAGGGAGTATACCTCACTACCCTGGTAGACAGGAGGTAGAGTATACCTCACCACCCTGGAGGACAGGAGAGAGAGTATACCTCACTGTTTACAAACAAGTCAACAAAAAATCCTGAGTGTTGAAAGATGTAAAGGTTTCGTAACTGATTAATCCTGACCCACATACTAAGACTTCGACTCACAACCGAAGGTCTCGTGTACAATCCCTACACACCACCACCACCTCCCAGGTACCACACCTACACCCACCACCACCACCCAGGTACCACACCTACACCCACCACCACCACCCAGGTACCACACCTACACCCACCACCACCACCCAGGTACCACACCTACACCCACCACCACCACCCAGGTACCACACCTACACCCACCACCACCACCCAGGTACCACACCTACACCCACCACCACCACCCAGGTACCACACCTACACCCACCACCACCTCCCAGGTACCACACCTACACCCACCACCACCTCCCAGGTACCACACCTACACCCACCACCACCACCCAGGTACCACACCTACACCCACCACCACCTCCCAGGTACCACACACCTACACCCACCACCACCACCCAGGTACCACACCTACACCCACCACCACCACCCAGGTACCACACCTACACCCACCACCACCTCCCAGGTACCACACACCTACACCCAACACCACCACCCAGGTACCACACCTACACCCACCACCACCACCCAGGTACCACACCTACACCCACCACCACCTCCCAGGTACCACACACCTACACCCACCACCACCACCCAGGTACCACACCTACACCCACCACCACCACCCAGGTACCACACCTACACCCACCACCACCACCCAGGTACCACACCTACACCCACCACCACCTCCCAGGTACCACACCTACACCCACCACCACCTCCCAGGTACCACACCTACACCCACCACCACCACCCAGGTACCACACCTACACCCACCACCACCACCCAGGTACCACACCTACACCCACCACCACCACCCAGGTACCACACCTACACCCACCACCACCACCCAGGTACCACACCTACACCCACCACCACCTCCCAGGTACCACACCTACACCCACCACCACCACCCAGGTACCACACCTACACTCACCACCACCACCCAGGTACCACATCTACAACCACTACCACCACCCAGGTACCACACCTACACCCACCACCACCACCCAAGTACTACACCTACACCCACCACCACCACCCAGGTACCACACCTACACCTTATCACCACAACCCAGGTACCACACCTACACCCACCACCACCCAGGTACCACACCTACACACCACCACCTCGCAGGTACCACACCTACACACCACCACCACCCAGGTACCACATCTACAACCACCACCACCTCCCAGGTACCACACCTACACCCACCACCACCTCCCAGGTACCACATCTACACCCACTACCACCCAGGTACCACACATACACCCACCACCACCACCCAAGTACTACACCTACACCCACCACCACCACCCAGGTACCACACCTACACCTTATCACCACCACCCAGGTACCACACCTACACTCACCACCACCCAGGTACCACACCTACACACCACCACCTCCCAGGTACCACACCTACACACCACCACCACCCAGGTACCACACCTACACCCACCACCACCCAGGTACCACACCTACACCCACCATCACCCAGGTACCACACCTACACCCACCACCACCTCCCAGGTACCACACCTACACCCACCACCACCACCCAGGTACCACACTTACACCACCACCACCACCCAGGTACCACACCTGCACCCACCACCACCTCCCAGGTACCACACCTACACCCACCACCACCACCCAGGTACCACACCTACACCTTATCACCACCTCCCAGGTAGTACACCTACACCCACCACCACCACCCAGGTACCACACCTACACCCACCACCACCTCCCAGGTACCACACCTACACCCACCACCACCACCCAGGTACCACACCTACACCCACCACCACCCAGGTACCACACCAACACCACCACCCAGGTACCACACCTACACCCACCACCACCACCCAGGTACCACACCTACACCACCACCACCCAGGTACCACACCTACACCCACCACCACCACCCAGGTACCACACCTACACCCACCACCACCACCCAGGTACCACACCTACACCACCACCACCCAGGTACCACACCTACACCCACCACCACCACCCAGGTACCACACCTACACCACCACCACCCAGGTACCACACCTACACCACCACCACCCAGGTACCACACCTACACCCACCACCACCACCCAGGTACCACACCTACACCCACCACCACCTCCCAGGTACCACACCTACACACCACCACCACCCAGGTACCACACCTACACCCACCACCACCTCCCAGGTACCACACCTACACCCACCACCACCTCCCAGGTACCACACCTACACCCACCACCACCACCCAGATACCACACCTACACCCACCACCACCACCCAGGTACCACACCTACACCCACCACCACCACCCAGGTACCACACCTACACCCACCACCACCACCCAGGTACCACACCTACACCCACCACCACCCAGGTACCACACCCACACCCCCACCACCACCCAGGTACCACACCTACACCCACCACCACCACCCAGGTACCACACCTACACCACCACCACCACCACCCAGGTACCACACCTACACCCACCACCACCACCCAGGTACCACACCTACACCACCCCACCACCGCACAATCAGTATTCAGGTAGAGGTGAGCGTGGTGTGGAAGTTCAGGTTACCGGTCAGTGATCATGACTTCTGATTATAGACATTACTCGGTGTGATAGGCCCATCAGTCTTCCCCGGCCCGGGGTATGGCCCAGCCTGACCGCTGCTCTGTCAGGCTGGGAGGGCGGGAGAGAGGGAGAGGCTAGTCTTTCAGGGCTAGCGTAGCCCCGTTCCCCAAGGGAATTAGCCCCCAAAAATCTATATATAAATAGTCTGCTGTCTAGGTGCAGATAGCCTATCCCTCGTCAAAGAGGGGGACTTTCACCACCAGTGAAAACTTTCACTGTTTATTAATTACTGAAAACTCTCATTAACCTCACAATACTCTACCACATGCTGCTTTAAGTTAACTCTGAGGCTCCACACAGGCAAGAGACGAGCTTCACATACTAGACACAAGAGGTAGAGTCTACGATCTCTTGAAGGTACAACTTCAGACTGCACCTGAGGACCCAGATCATGTGCTTCAGTGAGCAACCCCAGGGTCCCAGCTTATATGGTCTACAACCCCAGGGTCCCAGCTTATATGACTTCCAACCCCAGGGTCCCAGTTTATATGACTTCCAACCCCAGGGTCCCAGCTTACATGGTCTTCAACCCCAGGGTCCCAGCTTATATGACTTCCAACCCCAGGGTCCCAGCTTAAATGACCTACAACCCCAGGGTCCCAGCTTAAATGGCCTACAACCCCAGGGTCCCAGCTTATATGGTCTACAACCCCAGGGTCCTAGCTTATATGGTCTACAACCCCAGGGTCCCAGCTTAAATGGCCTACAACCCCAGGGTCCCAGCTTATATGGCCTACAACCCCAGGGTCCTAGCTTATATGGTCTACAACCCCAGGGTCCCAGCTTATATGGTCTACAACCCCAGGGTCCCAGCTTATATGGCCTACAACCCCAGGGTCCCAGCTTATATGGCCTACAACCCCAGGGTCCTAGCTTATATGGTCTACAACCCCAGGGTCCCAGCTTATATGGTCTACAACCCCAGGGTCCCAGCTTATATGGTCTACAACCCCAGGGTCCCAGCTTATATGGCCTACAACCCCAGGGTCCTAGCTTATATGGTCTACAACCCCAGGGTCCCAGCTTATATGGCCTACAACCCCAGGGTCCCAGCTTATATGGCCTACAATCCCAGGGTCCTAGCTTATATGGCCTACAACCCCAGGGTCCTAGCTTATATGGCCTTCAACCCCAGGGTCCTAGCTTATATGGCCTTCAACCCCAGGGTCCTAGCTTATATGGCCTTCAACCCCAGGGTCCTAGCTTATATGGCCTACAACCCCAGGGTCCTAGCTTATATGGCCTTCAACCCCAGGGTCCTAGCTTATATGGCCTTCAACCCCAGGGTCCTAGCTTATATGGCCTACAACCCCAGGGTCCCAGCTTATATGGCCTTCAACCCCAGGGTCCTAGCTTATATGGCCTACAACCCCAGGGTCCCAGCTTATATGGCCTTCAACCCCAGGGTCCTAGCTTATATGGCCTACAACCCCAGGGTCCTAGCTTATATGGCCTTCAACCCCAGGGTCCTAGCTTATATGGCCTACAACCCCAGGGTCCTAGCTTATATGGCCTACAACCCCAGGGTCCCAGCTTATATGGTCTACAACCCCAGGGTCCTAGCTTATATGGTCTACAACCCCAGGGTCCTAGCTTATATGGCCTACAACCCCAGGGTCCTAGCTTATATGGTCTACAACCCCAGGGTCCCAGCTTAAATGGCCTACAACCCCAGGGTCCCAGCTTATATGGTCTACAACCCCAGGGTCCTAGCTTATATGGCCTACAACCCCAGGGTCCTAGCTTATATGGCCTTCAACCCCAGGGTCCTAGCTTATATGGCCTTCAACCCCAGGGTCCTAGCTTATATGGCCTACAACCCCAGGGTCCTAGCTTATATGGCCTTCAACCCCAGGGTCCTAGCTTATATGGCCTACAACCCCAGGGTCCTAGCTTATATGGCCTACAACCCCAGGGTCCCAGCTTATATGGTCTACAACCCCAGGGTCCCAGCTTATATGGCCTTCAACCCCAGGGTCCCAGCTTACATGGTCTTCAACCCCAGGGTCCCAGCTTATATGGTCTACAACCCCAGGGTCCTAGCTTATATGGCCTTCAACCCCAGGGTCCTAGCTTATATGGCTTCCAACCCCAGGGTCCCAGCTTATATGGTCTTCAACCCCAGGGTCCCAGCTTATATGGTCTTGAACCCCAGGGTCCCAGCTTACATGGCCTACAACCCCAGGGTCCCAGCTTATATGGTCTACAACCCCAGGGTCCCAGCTTACAAGGCCTACAATTGTGTCTTTCTTACTTTGACAAGTAATATAGCTGCTATAGAAACTAGTGTGTTATTAAACACTGAAGATGATTGGGGTGCTTTTACAAGCTCAGGTTATAGTTACATCACATACATTGTATAACTAATGTATTATAGTCAATCTTGGGTATAAGTCCAATATATCATCAAGTGTTCCAGTACTCATATAGTAATTACAGAGTTCAGCATACCTTAGCCCAGGAGAGCGAAAGTCAGTCAGTATGGGACATTCTACAATATAATGTTCAAGAGAGTGCATGTTTTCTCTTTCACAAAGTTGACACATTGTGCACTCGACACTTTCACAAAGTTGACACATTGTGTACTGGACACTTTCACAAAGTTGACACATTGTGTACTGGACACTTTCACAAAGTTGACACATTGTGTACTCGATATTTGGGTTTTGAGAAAGCTGCCAGATACGTCTATATCCCAGGCGTATTCTGGCCACTATAACATCACATTGCCGGGTTCTTGTTCTATTAGTCCCATATGTGAATGTCTCCTCACGATATCTATCATAATATTTAATGATACAACTTTCAGGTCTTTGTGAATTTGTTAGGTCGGTGAGATTTTCATTAGATATTTAAGTATTCTCTTTGTCACTGCTAATGAAACACCCATATCAATTTCTACCACTGGTTTTCTGCAGGCTGACTTAGCAAGCATATCAACAGTGTCATGTCTTGAGATGCCAACATGTGATGGTATCCATAGGAATTTAATCTCAAATCTGTTTTCTTTAGCAGCTAAAACATTCATTCGAATATCACTGACTATTTTCTGGGTGTCACTACTATGTGCGTTCAGTGCCAGGAGTGCACTCTGCGAGTCACAGTATATAAGTCCACTGCCTTTGTCTTTTAAAAATTCAGTGGCAAGGTATATGCCTGCAAGTTCGGTTTGAGTTGTACTTGCCCAGTCATTAGTAGGAGGTATGGGAAACACCGCACACACGACCAGCCTCACCGCGCCTCAGCCTCACCGCGCCCCAGCCTCACCGCGCCTCAGCCTCACCGCGCCTCAGCCTCACCGCGCCTCAGCCTCACCGCGCCTCAGCCTCACCACGCCTCAGCCTCACCGCGCCTCAGCCTCACCGCGCCTAAGCCTCACCACGCCTCAGCCTCACCGCGCCTCAACCTCACCACGCCTCAACCTCACCACGCCTCAACCTCACCACGCCTCAGCCTCACCGCGCCTCAGCCTCACCGCGCCTCAGCCTCACCGCGCCTAAGCCTCACCACGCCTCAGCCTCACCGCGCCTCAACCTCACCACGCCTCAACCTCACCACGCCTCAACCTCACCACGCCTCAGCCTCACCACGCCTCAACCTCACCACGCCTCAGCCTCACCGCGCCTCAGCCTCACCACGTCTCAGCCTCACCACGCCTTAGCCTCACCACGCCTTAGCCTCACCGCGCCTCAGCCTCACCACGCCTCAGCCTCACCCCGCCTCAGCCTCACCGCGCCTCAGCCTCACCACGCCTCAGCCTCACCACGCCTCAGCCTCACCGCGCCTCAGCCTCACCGCGCCTCAGCCTCACCCCGCCTCAGCCTCACCGCGCCTCAGCCTCACCACGCCTCAGCCTCACCACGCCTCAGCCTCACCGCGCCTCAGCCTCACCACGCCTCAGCCTCACCACGCCTCAGCCTCACCGCGCCTCAGCCTCACCGCGCCTCAGCCTCACCGCGCCTCAGCCTCACCGCGCCTCAGCCTCACCACGCCTTAGCCTCACCGCGCCTCAGCTTCACCACGCCTCAGCCTCACCACGCCTTAGCCTCACCACGCCTTAGCCTCACCGCGCCTCAGCTGAGACGAAGGAAGCCCGCCCGTTCCCTACCTGTGGGCTAGCTTGGTCAAACTTATCGTCCAGCAAACACTCAAACCTCTAATACAATATTTAATGAGAAAATGCGCCAGGGCTGTGAGGTGGGCGCGAACCTACGACCCCAGCATTACCAGTCGCTTACTCTACCACTGGACCACCAGGGACTTGTAAAAGTCATACAACTGTATTTCTACTGAAATCACAGGAAGTGTGGAGGCGGCTACTGAAGCCAGTAAGAGTGTTTGCGTATGACCCAGAACCACTGGGGTGGAAGGCCACAGTGGTCCTACACCTTACGTCCCAACTTCACAAACACAGACCTTGGGACGCGAACAAGGGGAGACAGGTGGAAGCTGAGTACCCAAATGAGCCACAGAGACGTTAGAAAGAACTTTTTCAGTGTCAGAGTAGTTAGTAAATGGAATGCATTAGGAAGTGATGTGGTGGAGGCTGACTCCATACACAGCTTCAAATGTAGATATGATAGAGCCCAATAGGCTCAGGAATCTGTACACCAGTTGATTGACGGTTGAGAGGCGGGACCAAAGAGCCAGAGCTCAACCCCCGCAAGCACAATTAGGTGAGTACAGACTCTGTTGTTCCCAGTAGCTGAATCTTAAAAAAACTGTCGGAAGTGTCCAACACCCCAAGTATTAAATACTGGCATTATACGATAAATGCGTTATGTCAAGATATTAATGTTACTAATCCCTAGCATTATACGTTTGAATACGTTATGTCAATATTGTTTCACCAATTCCTAGCACAGCAAGAAAATTCGTTGTGTTAGTAAATTAAAATTACTGATAATATTCGCATCCAGGAAAACGCCGAAACTTTCCTACTGTCGATGGCGGGCGGTTGCGTCAGCCAGCCAGCCGGCAACATGGGTTGATGAATCTTATCTAACTCTCATTAAACTTAAGCCGCATATTGATTTTATTAACATTTGCTATTTAGATTAGGATTACCAAGAATAAGGTCGTATTTCCATTCCCCAGTAAATGTTTGCATCCGTGTAAAAATAGTCAGAAACCAAAGTCACGTTTCGTAAATCACACAAACTCTACGAGCCAGTGTTAAGAACAAAGGAAATTGTTCTCTAGATTTTAGAGTAAATTATTCATGTGAAAATTGACGTTAACTTAATACAGTCCTTGAATAACTTAAAGTAAACAGTGACTTATTTACTGGCACGCACCGCGGAGCTCAACGTAAGGAGGGGGACACAGGCCCACCAGAGGCGCAAGAGATCCCCACACGACAACACGCTTCTCGACGTTCTCCATCTGATCCCACCGGAGCCAGCCGTTATCATAGTCGAATATTGGAACATCCGTCGCATTAGACCTCCCACACTTTGATGCTAGCTCCACACATCACTGCACAGTGTATCCGGTCGGTTTAGAGCTCGATATTAGGTAAAGTGGCCACATAACCTAGATAAGAGATTAACCAACCGGTCATGCTGTAAGGGATCTGAATTACCAAAGTGTGTGTAAGTCAAATTACAGGGTTATTTCTTTAATGGAACTTTATCATGGAAATGTTAGTGCTGCATGAGCTACAGTGTATTAATTCCATAGTGATCAGCAACTGGGTCCAGCCGTCTCAGATTTACGGGTTTCACGTGGACGCGAGGCTTCCTCCCACGAGGCGATGATATAACTGATTCACGAGAGCTTCGTCTGATGTCCCTTAACTAAATCAACTTTACAGCTATGATTCCTGTTTACATTTAACTTACGTAGTTAGATCACTAACCCTATGACTATTATTGTTGAGGTTATAAAGCAATGAATATTATTAACAGGATGATTCAGCATTACTGGATTAACCCCCATTTTGTTGTGTGTGTACGAAGTGTCCAAATGAACAGTAATTAAACTTACAGTTCACTTAACTGTAAATAATTAAAAGAAATCCAATCTTGGGTATTTCCCACAACAGCAAAAACAATTCTTCGATTCAATTAAACGATTTAAAACAATTAAACGATTCTTCGCGGCGGGGATCGTATTCCAGGGACCTGCCCGAAACGCTACGCGTACTAGTGGCTCTACAAGAATGTAACAACTCTTGTATATATCAAAAAAAAAAAAAAACAGCCTCAACAATCACATCAGTCCGTCCTGGACCTTCATTAAGTCCACGACGTACCAAAACGTCGTCATTTCCATATGCGTCACAGGTTAGGGTCTTCACATTCCTGTCTGTCGTGTTCAGAACCTGTTGGGTTTTGTGAAGGCCACGAGGTCAACCTTGACAGTGCTCTACAGTACACAATATGGGGTGATATACAAGCCTGGAGTCACTTTCAACTTGGTGTGGGAAGAACATTGCAAACCCTCTCCAGACTGTTACTCCCTAGACTGTTACTCCCTAGACTGTACTCCCCAGACTGTACTCCCCAGACTGTACTCCCCAGACTGTTACTCCCTAGACTGTTACTCCCTAGACTGTACTCCCCAGACTGTACTCTCCAGACTGTTGTGGGAACCGACCTGTGAGATTTATATTTATTTAATTTATATGAATTTATATAGAATTTATATTTACATTAATTTATATACTTCGATAGCAATTTGTATGATGTTAAGTGGACTGTATTTCTGCAATAATCTCATAATCTCACAAATCGATCCTCTACACATTAGGGGGGTTTATATTAAATTTATATATATATGCAGCCAATCAAACTACAGTATTAGACTACACATTGAAGAGGTTCCTTATCTTATTGTACAGCAGGCCTTAGTCCACCAGGTATAACCAGGATGTAGACACCAAATTATCCTCTTTGAGGTAGCTTCCATCACCCAGTAACTGGTGCACAAAGTCTTGCTTCCTCGTCTTGACCTGTCAAAAGGGCGCTAGCTGTAAAGCCAGAATCCTAATATATGACATCTATATCAGAGAAAACACTGTACAAGGAACCATAAAGACCTGGGCTTAATTATCTTTAGTATGAGGCGATCTCGTGATCTAACCGGCTAACCCTATCTAATGACATTAATGGCCACAAATGATAGATAAATGGGTTTCGGCAGAACACTTAACTTGTATTTGTTGACAGCGTGTTGATGATGGTACACCTTTGGTTTCCATAACACTTCGTCTAAGTAAAATTAACAGGAGCCGAATTGCTCCCATGCCTCTGGTCTAAGTACAATAACAATGGCTGACCACTCCCTCACGACTGATGCTACTGGCCTACATTGTCCAGATGATAGTAAGTGAAAGAAGGGTCACATTTACTCTAATTTTAATTCTGATAATTAAGTTAATTTATATGAGATGTTTTTATGATGGTAAAGTCCAAAGACTAATGTATTTAAGAATACATTTAGCAGTCTCCGTGGTGTAGTGGTAAGACACTCGCCTGGCGTTCCGCAAGCGCTATGTCATGGGTTCGCATCCTGGCTGGGGAGGATTTACTGAGCGCAATTCCTTAACTGTAGCCTCTGTTTAACGCAACAGTAAAATGTGTACTTGGATGAAAAAACGATTCTTCGCGGCAGGGGATCGTATTCCAGGGACCATAGGATTAAGGACTTGCCCGAAACGCTACGCGTACTAGTGGCTGTACAAGAATGTAACAACTCTTGTATATATCTCAAAAAAAAAAAAATAATAATTCCCACCATAATAGGTGGTGAATTTATAATAGTATGTGGTAATGATATCCCGTTTTCTATAGACGGGAATTCCACTACAAGTTACATTTTCTATGGGTAACTTGTTTATACAATACAGCAATATTATCTGTCTGTATGATATTATTAAATGGTGTCGGATTTTCCGACAACTGTACTCCCCAGACTGTTACTCCCTAGACTGTACTCCCCAGACTGTTACTCCCTAGACTGTACTCCCTAGACTGTACTCTCCAGACTGTACTCCCCAGACTGTACTCCCCAGACTGTTACTCCCTAGACTGTACTCCCCAGACTGTACTCCCCAGACTGTACTCCCCAGACTGTACTCCCCAGACTGTACTCCCCAGACTGTACTCTCCAGACTGTACTCCCCAGACTGTACTCCCCAGACTGTTACTCCCTAGACTGTACTCTCCAGACTGTACTCCCCAGACTGTACTCCCCAGACTGTTACTCCCCAGACTGTACTCTCCAGACTGTACTCCCCAGACTGTACTCCCCAGACTGTACTCTCCTAGACTGTTACTCCCCAAGTCGCTGCTCCCACAAAAAGCGTATTAGTAACTTCTTTTTTCTGTGTAATCAAATATATTTTCTTTTCAAATATAAATTAATATTGTTCTATTTTAGTGTTTTGTGCATAATGAGAGAGGACAGGTTAAGGTAGATGTTTGGGCCGTGTTTGTAATGGTTGGTGTTAACAGCATGCTCCTCATTCCCGTCTAATATGTGACTGATCCCAAACAGGTTCATACTATTCATACTATAATGAATAATATAAATTGTTTTATAGGTTAGGTTAGGTTGGGTTAGGTTAGGTTATGCTAGGTTAGGTTGGGTTGGGTTATATGTGTTAGTAGTTATTGGTATTTGCAGTACGTGGGTGCAGCATGGAGGTGTGGGCCC